TAAGTTGACACAATCTTGCTTCCTATAAGATAAAGCTTTATCAAGGACAAGTCAGCAGCTTTACCGGGACTCGCCGACACCCCAAAAACTGGGCCATCAGGACTTTAGAATTTTCTCTATTGCAGCTTCTGCGAAGTGCGCTTGCAGGTCTTAAGGTCTAAGGTCTTCCGCTTATTTTTACCCACACTTCCATCATATGTAGCTAGTCCGAATGACTGCTTGGTTTCCTGTTTGTTCTGGATTCTTTGTTTTTTTAGTTAGCTGCACCACGAGCGTATTAAAAATAAAATAAAATAATAAAGTGTAACAATAAAAAAAATGCATAAAGCTCGCTTTCAGCGGCTCAGTAAAGCTATCGCTGAGGTTTTTTCAATGAATCATAAGAGGTGCTGTACTCTGCTTATCGTAACAAAAAGAATGCAGCTCTTTATCACACATTCCTTTTCATATGGCAAGCAGATAATTCTTTCACGCTATTTGTAGTTTTCTTGGTAGTTGCTTAATTCGCTCATAAATCTTATATATAAAGCTGAATGTGTGTCTATCTGTATGTACGTATGTGCGAAATAGAAATTTTTATTTCTGAACCGATTTGGACCAAACTTGGCACACATATACTTCGGGGCGGGGAGCGTGTCATAGGCTACAGGGGGGAAGTGGGCATGCTGATTTTGAAAACAGCACACGGAACGGGAAATGAAGTGTAGAAGTGGGCACAGGGAAAGGGTGTACAGGGATAGGGATGAGACCTTTATTACAGTGTTCTGACAGGGCCGAGCGGAGCCGGGTAAGCAAGCTAGTAAATCAATAAAATAAATAAATGTGTTACAATTTATCGCCATACAATGTGAGGTTACATAAGTCTTGTTAGACTTTGTCTTTCCAGTATAGGCGGGAATCAGGTGTTTGCAGTAAGCAAAAAATATGGTTATGTTTCTAAAGGCTTGTAATGCACAATCACTTGTGTGGGAATAGCACTGCATAACTTCAGCGAAATCGTGAGAATATTTGTTCTCTCAGTTTTTACCTGTGAAAAAATACAGTAGCGATATATATACTAGCGACCCTAGGGGTCGCTAGCAAGCGGGTTGAGGCAAACCATAGATGATGGCTCTTTTAGTCCTATAACTTTCCCAAATGAATTTCCAATTTATCAGCATATCGTCGATTCAAAACGCACAAAGACTGGGCGCCATTGCGTACGACCAAAATAGCTGATGCGTGGGAGAGACAGCAGGTGGTAAGAGAAACGAAAGAGCGCTTGATCACAGAGGCGCCGATAAGTCCGCAGTCTTTGTGCGCAACGAATCGAAGGTATGTATTGCGGCAATCCTCAAAACGAGATCTTCGGAGATTTCCTCACAATTTCACCGGAAAAAGAATAACATCGTTCTTAAATAGTGTTCTACACTGACAGGGGAGGGATACCTAGTTGAAGTGGCTTTTTTCATATCAAATGTAAACTGTTAGACATAGAACGCTGATTTTGAATCTGCCTTCGATAGCTGCAAAGCGCATCTGAGAGGGGAGTTGTGGGAGCTTTTGAAGCAAAAATTCAAACGCGCGGCTGAAATAAAATAAATTTATTTGAAAAAGTACACTTAAGCTTGAATTGAGCCATATTACTGCCAGGGCGCTTTGAAGGCAGTGTCCGGGCAAGGTGGGAGTTTTGAGATTTCAGCGCCATGCGAAAGTGGCCCCCCTAAAACACAACATCGTACAAGTGCGAGGTAACAACTCGACCGAAAGCAACAAAAACGATCGGAAAGTGGGAAAACTTAAAGGGGGGGGGGGTCCTCCGAGCTGTTTGAGTTTCTGCTAGACGGCAGAGTGCGCATGCCGCCACATTTCAATCGTAGGGTTCCGCACAGCGACTCTGCGTCTTTGGCGGGGATTGTCGAATTTCAAAAGTTAAGGCTTTGGAAAACGCATGTTCTCGCCGTTTTCTTCTAATGTGGATTTTCAGACCCAGCGTTGCGGATAACCCCCGGTAAGTGGATTTTCTAAAAATTGAGTTTTTACTCGGACACTGCCTTTGAGCAGTCAATACCTTCGCTAATAAATTTAAGGAAGTCATTACTCCTCACAAGCGCCGGAAAGACCTCACCCGTTTTTACAATGACCAGCCATTAAACTTTACCCTTGAAAAATTTCCATAACTCCTCTCACAGAAGCAGATACTGATAGCACTCTGATTCAAAAAGTAGTATAGCACTCTGATTCAAAAAGTTCTTTTGTAGATAGCAAAAGCAATTTTTGATTCAGAGTTCCCTGCTCTATTTTATGCTCTGCTCTCGTTCGTGCTCTCTGCAGTAAACATTTCATATGTCAACTTTACTTCAACCAAGCTCCTTTAGTGAGCGTCACTGTACAGCATCCCTCCACATGTCATTTTTGCACACGCGCTCACACAGTGGTGAGAACAAACGAATTCAAGCAGAGCAACTGCCCTCAGAAGTGAGATTTTCGGAGATTTCAAAATTTGTTTGGAAAGTGGATCATATCGTGCTAAAATAGTTTTGCTTTGAGGATCACTGTATAGCTTCCTTCCGCAATATCATTCTTACACTCTCGCTCGCATATGGGGGAAATTGAAGTTATATAGAGCAAGAGCTTTCAAAAGCAAGAATTTTGGGGATTTTCACACAATTTGGGCGGAAACTGGAAAATAGTTCAAATAGCTCAGCTGACTTAAATGGGAAGAGCTTGAAATACCGACGAGAGCATAATGAATACAGAGATGGATGTGAGAGGATCGATCAAGAGTATGGTACCATATCTAACTTTCGCCGACCATCATTTCGCTAATTCAGCGCACTTGGCACGCGACTGCGGTTTTCAACACAACTACTGCAGCAGCAGAGTGTGCAAAAGTTGTGCTGAAAAACGGAGGTCCTAGCGCGAACGAGAGCGCACCCTGCGTGTCGTGAGCTCTCGTTTGAGCCAGGACCTCTGCGTCCTCTTGTGCTCATCATTGCATCGTCGCGTTCTCTAAACGTTTAGGCAGCGTTCTGACTTTGGTGTCTATTCAAAGCACACGTTAAAGCCATACAGTGAGCGCGCCATTCCAGCCGTCTCGTGATCTAGGATCGGGTTTATATTATAGAAGAAGATATATATATATATACATGTTAGCGTCTGTTATGGAGTGTTCATGCTCATGTAAGTGAGAGATTTTTAAAAAATTTTGAACAAAGATATAAATTTCCTTCATTTATGGATTCAGAACTTTCTATATTTGGGGTCCAAACCTGTGCATCAAAAGTCGGGCAACTCTACATGCTTCTCAGCTATAGAAAGATACTTTACCGTAAACTCAAATCTTTTCATTGCTGCATGAAAAATACTTTGAACACAGACGCTGACAGTAAGAAAATCAGTGATTTATCCCGTTGTGTGCACTTTTTCTGTGATGCTTAATTTTTCATACCGATTAGTGCAACTGAACAGATACCTGTTCGCGGGTGTACTCCACACCCATTCTTCGTTGAGGAGTGCAAACGCATAATGGGTCGCTATGCACATGCATGCGAGGCCAATCGTTTCTAGTGCATCCTGGTCAGGGCTCGACACGAGGTGTCTGGCGAATTTTCGAAAATGAGATCCTCGCTGACTTTGCAACAAGAATACGACATTGTATGACGCTGTTATGAAAGAACTAAACGTGAATAACAAAGAGGATCAGAACAGAGTACAAGAACAACACTCAGACAAACGGCGGGGGTAGGCGGGATCGGAATAATAAATAGCTGATTTCTCGCGCTCCCTTCGCCGATTTTTTAGAAAAGTGGTAACGACTTTTTGACGCCGCCTGTTGATTTCTTGCTTCGTCCAAAAATCAGCAATATATCCGCGAGAAATCGGAGTGAAAAAAATTCAACAGACGGTCTCTAAAAAGCTCGCTGACCACTTTCCAGAAATCTGGCGAGCGGAGTGCGAAAAAATCAGCAAGACGGATTTTCCGGTGCCCGCCTACCGCGGCGATTACCTGAGATATAGCATAGTATCAGCTCAGGTTAAGCGGGAGTTGGATTGGCGGAAGCCCGCTTCGCACCAATTCGCGCAGTTTTGCACTCTGTCTCTTCACCTCATTTACAAAAATTCGCCAGACACGTCGTCGCTGAGCGAAAGGGGTGCGTACGCGCTGCTCCACTTGGAATTTACTCCGGGTTGAAAAGGGTGTTGATGAAAAATCTAATAATCGAGCTCGTATTCTCCGAGCTGGCGGCATGCTGTGTCCGAGGCGCACCATCGAGTACTTGGAGCAGGATTACCGCCGCCAAACAAAAAAAATTTTGGAGTAACTAACAATAAAAGGGGAGGGAATTTGGCGAGGCAAAATTGTCTTGTAGGGTTTTGGTTGTAAATCAAAGTTATGTAAAAGGCATATAAAACTATGTGAGGGAACTTATGACTTTGTTCGCTCTGAGCCAACTCGGGTGGAGTTTTCAGGGATTTTTGTTTGTCAGGCAGAAGGTTGCAAAGATCTGTTGAGTTAATGGGCGTAAATTTGGCAGTCCTTGAAATCCTCTTACTCAGTCAATATCGTATAAAAAACCATAGATTGGCTTGGGTGATCGGAGGGTTTACTGAAATTTTTCTGCCACTCTTGATACTTTTGCACTAAAGATTGTTTTTTTCATGAACACCATACAAGCTGATATATGCTTTTTACGGCATCGCTTCCGATCCCGCAACGATATCTCCTTTTCATTCAAGGGGACATCGTAGTAAAAGATACTTTGTTTGTAATGTCTGTGCTGTTTTGATCATATCAATCAAAGTGCGGCTGTACATAAAAAATAGGGTAGCTGTCTGGCTGAAGGCTGAAGTATGTATGCTTACTCGCTTACGCTTAAATAGTGCAGCTATAAACACATTCAGTGGCCAACCCCGTTCATTTGAAATTTCACAGAAATCAGAATCCCACTAAAATGTTCATGCAATCCTTGACATCAAAAAAGTCGCCTTCAAAGAGAAAAGTAACTGATAAATTTTTTCAGAATCTACAAAATGGCTCTCTATACCGATGAAAACTTCATAACTTGGACTTACGAGAATGAACCGCAACGCGTGCGTAACGATAGTGCGCACAGCGATCACACATACTGTTACATAACGGATAATCCTGATGAGCAGAATGAGCAAGAAAAACGTGCATCTAGAAGAGGTATCAGAGCTATTTTGCAAAAGTAAGAAATCTTCGCTTTTGCTTTTTTTCTTGCACTTGAACTTCAGAAGAAAATTTTACATAAGCAGAGAGTTATGAGCTACTTTGCTTCAAAAGCGTTTTTTACGCAAATGAGATCTGTTTCAAAACGCTATCTATTATATATATAGCATATATATAAAGCTGTACGCCTGCTCAGAGAATCGCCGGGGGTAGGCGGCCATGCGATTTGTAGGCAAGCGGGCGCCGGAAAAATAGTTCACTGATTTTTTAAGGTCCGCTTGCAGATATTTGAGAAAATATTGGACGTTTTTTGAGACGTGTGGGAATTATTCATAGATTAGTTGCGGCGCAGTGGCCGCATTCCAGATTTTCCACGAGAATATGCAAAATTATTGCGGGCCGCACGGTTCCTTGTAGAGGACCGCCAAGCACCGGGGGTGCCTTTCGCTGAGAAAAAGTATAGAGCTTATCAATGGCAGTGTCAGGTGCAATAACATCTCATCCCGCGGAGGACTGTGCACCTCCTCAGAGATCGCGGTAGGCGGCCATGCGATCTATAGGCAAGCGGGCACACTGGAAAAATAGTTTGCTGATTTCTTGCGTCAGCTTGAGAGATTTGGAAGATTTTTGATCATTCTTTAAAAGAATGCTCGGAGAACAATCGCGGCTTTTCATAAACTAATTGCGGCCAGTGGCCGCATTCTGTGGACTTTCCGCGAGAATATGAAGATTGTTGAGTGCCGCACGGTCCTTTGTAAAGGGTCTTTTTCGCTGAGAGAAAGTACCCGAGCGCTTGCTGAAAGTTTGGCCAGCGCTTGCAGAAGATGATGTATTGCTGCCCTCTTGCAGAACACGGAAGTACTGCTCGCTGAAGGTTTGGCCACGCTCCAAAATTCTGCTGACCGCCCGCAAGAAAGCGAGTTTGTGGACCGCCTGCCCCCGGCGATTGTCTGAATGGTCGTTATGGAAGAAATTGATTAAGAGTCTCTATACGCTTTCAACTGAAGGTCTCGTAGCTTGTAACCTCTCCTAGAAAAGGGCAGCGAGTAAGCTGTTCTAATTGGGAGCGCAGGGTCAACAAGAGGTATGGCACACGATCGATCGCTGGTTACAACCCCCACCCCCCTTATTGTTGTCTCAATAAGACCCCCTGAACTATATACCTAAGATAGCATGACTTGAAGGCCCTGTCAAACATGACGGCCAACGTATCCATAATTCGCATGTTAATTAACCCCTGTAGACAATGTTTTAGCGAATTCTGAAGTTTAATATACTGCGTCACCTAAGTGAAATCGCCATTTTCCAGCATGATTAACTTTGTTTCAAAGGTGAAGTAGCTAGCTGTTCATGCACTCAAGACAAAGCACTACTACTTCTTTAGCCACTTCAGAAATCTCGCTTCAAAAGACCTAACTTTATTAGAAACCAATCAAATCTTGTTTTTTCCTAATTTTCGCTTATAATGGTTGTGCTTTCACCAAATATTACTCAGAGCTAAGAAGACGACTCAGGCTCAAATCACTCCTATGAAATTTACGAGGCTCTTGAATCATATAAATAACGTTTGCTAAATATATTTTTGATATAGTTAATGAGGTGTGGCACAACCCCTAAAAAGCTGTGGCTGCCACAGCTTTTCAGGGGTGGTGCCACACTCAATTAACTTACCTTCATACAGATAAATAGCTGCGCTTTCTATATCGTTGTTATTGCTTAGCCTTCTTCTTTTAACGGCAGAAATTTCATATGAAAACGTTTCTTCAAGTGCAAGATATGATCGTTTCTCCTTACCTATACAGATGTAAAATACTGATAAAATACTGCGAAAATATTGGGATAAGGTAACATGCTAAATCTGCGCTACTACGTGAATCGGAGAACGCGACAGGGATGTATGTATTCGATAGCCTAAGCCTCGTAATCTACATTAAAGTGATTTGGGCCTGATTGGTCTTCTTGTAGCCTGAGATATAGGAAACGAAAAATGGAACAAATAAGATTTTGGCTTGCTCTTGATTAGTTAATTTGGAGGTCATTTGAAGCAGGATTCCTAACGTGAGCAAAGAAAAAATAGTATTTCTTCGTATTAAGCGGAAAAAGAAGTGACCAACTTATCTTTGAAACAAAGTAACATGTTTAAAGTTGACCATCTCACTTAGGTGGTCCTGCATCTGGAGACGTCAGAATTCGCTGAAACTTGGACCACAGGGGGTTATTTTACTTGCTGTTTACAAAACGATGCTCATGCTTACTGTACGTACACGATAATGGGTCAAACATCAAAGTGCTAGTATTTTGCATGACGGGCCTATCTGCCATTGTTAACGAACGTCATGTTATGCGAACAACGGAAGCCTTAATAACGACCCCCCTCCCTAATTCCTTAATACGACCCCCCAGGTGTGGCAAGCCACACCCCACGCTTGACCCTGGTGTGCAGTTTTGCGTTGATTTTATCCGTAGTCTGGAAAAGTGATGTGTAGTTTGGATTAGCCAGGAGCGCCTCACGGGTGCAATACCGCTCATAATTCGTCAACAAAGTCGCCGGAGTGCGCTGCAGTGCGCCGGAGTGCGAGCAGTCCACTAGAGTGCAGCGGAGTGCGCCGCACATCACTAGAGTCCGTCGGAATACGCGTCGCATCGCCACATTTTGCTTCAGAATGGATGAATTTTGAATCCGAGGACACCGTTCGATTGAGCTCGGCCAGACGCATCATATGTATGTAGAAGTGCCATAACCTGTGGAGGCGCGGTAGGTATACGGTAGACAGTGAGTTTTTGCTCAATTTTGTTTTTGTTTGGTTAGATTATTCAGTGTTCTGATAACAACATCGTCAGTGATTTGCTGCTGATGGCGCATCGTACGGATACTGTTGGTGTATGGTAAGAGTCACTTGTAACTTTGATTGATTTGTACTAAAGCCCGTATGCACGTATCCCCGCTGAAGAGGAGAGGGGGTCTGAGAGGGGATGCGTCATATCTAGCTTCTCTAGGTGTCTTTCTTCTTCCTTCTCTATTTTGTTTACGAAGGCTCTCACGCCCTAATACCTGCGCATAGTGATCCCCCGTAGAATCCCAAGGGAATCACCTCTCAAATTCAATGCCAATTATCTTTTTATTAGGTCGTCCCGAAAGTATTTTCGCTTTTTTGCAAGGGTGCCAAAACTCGCAGAACAAACATCCCTAAAATATCTTGTAAGCAATCGATGCAGTTTTTTATGCTCTTTCAAATGGTCTTCTTTATATCGCAGTTCAACAAACGAGCTTTCAGAAAATTACCAAAAACTGCAACCCATGATTTTTGCCATGGTCAAGTTCCACTATTTTCTAAATTCTTACACTGACTCCCCGAAGAAGTCCAGGTAACCTATGAATAGAGCAAACAAATTAGAATACAAAACCATTTCTGACCCTTCTAAAGCTTACTTTCCAGAACTTTTGAGATCATTTATTTGATGCTATCAATTTCCATATTTAGTCAAATTAAACCTCATACAACATCAGCCGGCAAGCAGCTCGTGTGTTATTCGATGCAGCACTTTCTCATCTTTCAGAGACATGTTTTTTGTTTCTAATTCGTAAACTTTTGGAGGACAAAATCGACAAAATTCATGTTTTTAATGGCGTTTTAAGAGGTACCCCCAAAATTCAAAATCTGATATTTCGAACCACGAAACGCTCATTTGTCTTGTAAAATTAATAATAAATCTTAATCCATTTTTGAAAGTATCAAAAATCAAAAATTTATTGGAGTTTGACGAGTCTGCGTCTAGTATGGGTTTACTAAAAAAATTTGATGGTGTTGTTTAAAATTCTGTCAAAAATTACGGAGAGCTCTGGGAAGGAGAACAAAATTGTTTTATGTCCTACTTTGCCTGCTCTATTCATAGTTTATTTGGACTTCTTCGGGGAGTCAGTGTAAGAATTTAGAAAAATAGTGGAACTTGACCATAGCAAAAGTCATGGGTCGCAGTTTTTGGTAATTTCCTGAGAGCTCGTTTGTTACACTGCATTATAAGAAAGACCCTTTGAAAGAGCATGAAAAACTGCATCGAATGCTTCCAAGATCTTCCAGGGAAGTTTGTTCTGCGAGCTGTGGCACCCATGTAAAGAAGGCGAAAATACTTTCGGGACGACCTAATACAAACGCAATGAAAATGCTGTAAAATTGTACTGTGGATATACTACGGCTAAAGGTGTTTATAGTAAAAATAAGTGAAATCTCAGGATATCGAAATCTTCGGTAATCCCTAGCTCGCGAGCTAGGGATCATCGAAAAATTACAATTTTCAGATTCCATTTCTCCTGTCGAAAACATGCTTAGCAATGCCGTAGTATATCCACAGTACATGCGCAGTTGTTAGGGTATGAGAGCCTTCATAAGCAAGTTAGAGAAGTAAAGAAACACCCCTAGAGTAGCGAGATATGATTCATCCCCTCTCAGATCCCCTCCCCTCCCTGGCGGGGGTGTACGTGCACACGGGCCTAAGTCTAGCTCAGGGCATTTAATGCGCTGATTGCAGTACTTACATTCATTTGATGCTCAAGGCACAGTTGCACTGGGATATCTGCGATGTAAGCTCAATTTAGTTGTGTTCAAAACGTTGTTATTGTTGCTTTCACGTGCTGCTCGTTCTAACCAGAAATCTCGCATGTCGCACTGGCGATCTGAAACGAAATGATGTCATCAAATGCGCGTTTGTGAACATTCCGAATCTAAAGAAAAAAGGACAAAGGATTTGGCGTCTTTATCACCCTCTGCGGACCTGCACTGAACGCACTCTGCTTCATGGTCGAAGAGGCTACTGAAATGCTTATGGGCTTATTAAAGTGACTTGAAGGAAGCGAGTGGCGTAGTGGTATTAGGCCCCACTATGACCACATCGGACACTACACCCAGGCTCGATCCCGCCCTGGGCCGATTCTTCAAGGCCGGTAAATTGATTTCTAATCTACTTTCCTTATTTGCTGAACGGCTCTCTAACAAAAGTCA